CTGTGTACTCAGATGAGGTCCCTTGTGGTGTAGTCTGCTTCAGGTGTTCAGCGGGTGTGTTTGTTCTTGTGGATGGCTGGGTGCAGTTGTCTCAGTAGACTCAGGACTGGGTGTAGAGGGGTCTTGGATGGGGTTGGTGTTGTAGTCTCACTATTGTTAATGGAGTTTCACTTACTATGCTCACTGGAGGAGTAGTGAATGTGACTGAGAGACACCTCGGTTGTGATGGTTGTTCAATGGTGGAAGAACTAAGACTTCACTATGTACTCAGATGAGGTCCCTTGTGGTGTAGTCTGCTCCACGTTCTCAGTGGGTGTGTTATGCTTTGGATAGGCTGGGTGCAGTTGTCTCAGTAGGCTCAGGACTGGGGTTTAGAAGCAGTCTTGGAGGGAGTAGGTGTTGTAATCTCACTTGTTGTAACGGTAGTTTCAGTACTATGCTCCCTGGAGGAGGTAGTGAATGTGGACTGAGAGACACCTCTGTTGTGGATGGTTGTTCAGTGGTGGAAGAACTAGACTTCACTGTGTACTCAGATGAGGTTCCCTGTGGTGTAGTCTGCTTCAGGTGCTTCAGCGGGTGTGTTTGTTCTTGTGGATTGGCTGGGTGCAGTTGTCTCAGTAGGCTCAGGACTGGGAGTAGAAGGGGTCTTGGATGGGGGTTGGTGTGTAATCTCACTTGTTGTAACGGTAGTTCAGTACTATGCTCCCTGGAGGGGGTAGTGAATGTGGACTGAGAAGACACCTCTGTTGTGGATGGTTGTTCAGTGGTGGAAAGAACTAGACTTCACTGTGTACTCAGATGAGGTCCCTTGTGGTGTAGTCTGCTTCAGGTGTTCAGCGGGTGTGTTGTTCTTGTGATTGGCTGGGGTGCAGTTGTCTCAGTAGGCTCAGGACTGGGAGTAGGAGCGGTCTGGGAGGGAGTGGTGTTGTAATCTCACTTGTTGTAACGGTAGTTTCAGTACTATGCTCCTGGAGAGGTAGGTGAATGTGGACTGAGAAGACACTTCTGTTGTGGATGGTTGTTCGGTGGTGGAAGAACTAGACCTCACTGTGTACTCAGATGAGGTCCCTTGTGGTGTAGTCTGCTCCACGTTCTCAGTGGTGTGTTTATGCTTGTGGATAGGCTGGGTGCAGTTGTCTCAGTAGGCTCAGGACTGGGTGTAGAAGGGGTCTTGGATGGGGTTGGTGTTGTAATCTCACTTGTTGTAACTGCCATTTCAGTACTATGCTCCCTGGAGGAGGGTAGTAAATGGGACTGAGAAGACACCTCTGTTGTGGATGGTGTTCAGTGGTGGAAGAACTAGACTTCACTGTGTACTCAGATAAGGTCCCGTGTGGTGTAGTCTGCTTCAGGTGTTCAGCGGGTGTGTTTGTTCTTGTGGATAGGCTGGGTGCAGTTGTCTCAGTAGACTCAGGACTGGGTGTAGAAGGGGTCTTGGATGGGGTTGGGATTGTAATCTCACTTGTTGTAACTATAGTTTCAGTACTATGCTCCCTGGCGGAGGTAGTAAGATGTGGACTGAGAAGACACCTCTGTTGTGGATGGTTTTCAGTGGTGGAAAAACTAGACTTCACTGTGTACTCAGATGAGGTCCCTTGTGGTGTAGTCTGCTCCACGTGCTCAGTGGGTGTTTTTATGCTTGTGGATAGGCTGGGTGCAGTTGTCTCAGTAGGCTCAGGACTGGGTGTAGAAGGGGTCTTGGAGGGAGTAGGTGTTGTAGTCTCACTAGTTGTTAATGGAGTTTCAGTACTATGCTCCCTGGAGGAGATAGTGAATGTGGACTGAGAAGACACCTCTGTTGTGGATGGTTGTTCAATGGTGGAGAACTAGACTTCACTGTGTACTCAGATGAGGTCCGTGTGGTGAAGTCTGCTTCAGGTGTTCAGCGGGTGTGGATAGGCTGGGTGCAGTTGTCTCAGTAGGCTCAGGACTGGGTGTAGAAGGGGTCTGGGATGGGGTTGGTGTTGTAATCTCAACTTGTTTGTAACGGTAGTTTCAGTACTATGCTCCCAGGAGGAGGTAGTGAAGTGTGGACTGAGAAGACACCTCTGTTGTGGATGGTTGTTCGGTGGTGGAAGAACTAGACACCACTGTGTACTCAGATGAGGTCCCTTGTGGTGTAGTCTGCTTCAGGTGTTCAGCGGAGTGTTTGTTCTTGTGGATTGGCTGGGTGCAGTTGTCTCAGTAGACTCAGGACTGGGTGTAGGAGGGGTCTGGGATGGGGGTTGGTGTTGTAATCTCACTTGTTGTAACGGTAGTTTCAGTACTATGCTCCCTGGAGGAGGTAGTGAATGTGGACTGAGAAGACACCTCTGTTGTGGATGGTTGTTCGGTGGTGGAAGAAACTAGACATCACTGTGTACTCAGATGAGGTCCCTTGTGGTGTAGTCTGCTCCACGTTCTCAGTGGGTGTGTTTATGCTTGTGGATAGGCTGGGTGCAGTTTGTCTCAGTAGGCTCAGGACTGGGTGTAGAAGCAGTCTTTGGAGGGAGTAGGTGTTGTAATCTCACTTGTTGTAACGGTAGTTTCAGTACTATGCTCCCTGGAGGAGGTAGTGAATGTGGACTGAGAAGACACCTCTGTGTGGATGGTTGTTCAGTGGTGGAAGAACTAGACTTCACTGTGTACTCAGATGAGGTCCCTTGTGGTGTAGTCTGCTTCAGGTGTTCAGCGGGTGTATTTGTTCTTGTGGATTGGCTGGGTGGCAGTTGTCTCAGTAGACTCAGGACTGGGTGTAGAAGGGGTCTTGGATGGGGTTGGTGTTGTTAATCTCACTTGTTTGTAACTATAGTTTCAGTACTATGCTCCCTGGCGGAGGTAGTAAATGTGGACTGAGAAGAACCTCTGTTGTGGATTGGTTGTTCAGTGGTGGAAAAACTAGACTTCACTGTGTACTCAGATGAGGTCCCTTGTGGTGTAGTCTGCTCCACGTGCTCAGTGGGTGTTTTTATGCTTGTGGATAGGCTGGGTGCAGTTGTCTCAGTAGGCTCAGGACTGGGTGTAGAAGGGATCTTGGAGGGAGTAGGTGTTGTAGTCTCACTAGTTGTTAATGGAGTTTCAGTACTATGCTCCCTGGAGGAGGTAGTGAATGTGGACTGAGAAGACACCTCTGTTGTGGATGGTTGTTCAATGGTGGAAGAACTAGACTTCACTGTGTACTCAGATGAGGTCCCGTGTGGTGAAGTCTGCTTCAGATGTTCAGCGGGTGTGGATAGGCTGGGTGCAGTTGTCTCAGTAGGCTCAGGATTGGGTGTAGAAGGGTCTGGGATGGGGTTGGTGTTGTAATCTCACTTGTTGTAACGGTAGTTTCAGTACTATGCTCCCTGGAGGAGGTAGTGAATGTGGACTGAGAAGACACTTCTGTTGTGGATGGTTGTTCGGTGGTGGAAGAACTAGACATCACTGTGTACTCAGATGAGGTCCCTTGTGGTGTAGTCTGCTCCAGGTTCTCAGTGGGTGTGTTTATGCTTGTGGATAGGCTGGGTGCAGTTGTCTCAGTAGGCTCAGGACTGGGTGTAGAAGCAGTCTTGGAGGGAGTAGGTGTTGTAATCTCACTTGTTGTAACGGTAGTTTCAGTACTATGCTCCCTGGAGGAGGTAGTGAATGTGGACTGAGAAGACACCTCTGTTGTGGATGGTTGTTCAGTGGTGGAAGAACTAGACTTCACTGTGTACTCAGATGAGGTCCTTTGTGGTGTAGTCGGCTTCAGGTGTTCAGCGGGTGTGTTTGTTCTTGTGGATTGGCTGGGTGCAGTTGTCTCTGAAGTCTCAGGACTGGATGTAGAACTGTTCTTGGAGGAATTAGGTGTTGTAGTCTCACTAGTTGTGGTTGGAGATTCAGAAGTCACCTCACTGGAGGAGGCAGAGAATGTGGACTGAGAAGACACCTCTGTTGTGGATGGTTGTGCAGTGGTGGAAGAATTAGACTTCCCTGTGTACTCAGATGAGGTCCCGTGTGGTGTAGTCTGCTTCAGGTGTTCAGCGGGTGTGTTTGTTCTTGTGGATAGGCTGGGTGCAGTTGTCTCAGTAGGCTCAGGACTGGGTGTAGAAGGGGTCTGGGAGGGAGTAGGTGTTGTAATCTCACTTGTTGTAACTATAGTTTCAGTACTATGCTCCCTGGAGGAGGTAGTGAATGTGGACTGAGAAGACACCTCTGTTGTGGATGGTTCTTCAGTGGTGGAAGAACTAGACTTCACTGTTGGCTCAATTGAAGTCTCAATTGGTTTAGTATGTGAGAAATGGTCAGTGTGTATGTTGTTACTTGAGGATAGGGTGGGTGTAGTTGTTAGAGAAAGCTGATGAATGGATGTAAAAGGAGTCGTAGGTGAAGAACCCGTTGTCGTATTATTTGTTGTTTTTGGAGTTTCTGTCTTCAAGTCACTGGAGGAGACTGACATGCTTGACTGTGAAAACTCCTTTGTGGATGGTTGCTCAATGGTGGAAGAACTAGGCATCAATGGGGACTCAGTTGAAGTATCTTTTGGTGTAGCATGCGAGAATTGGTCAGTGGGTGTGTTGGTAATTGAGGATAGGGTTGGTGTAGTTGTGTCAGAAGGCTGATGAGTCGTAAAAGGAGTCGTAGATATAGAACTTGTCTCTGTGGATGAAAAATATTTCCATCAATGACTTCTCTTTGTGGATTAATTAATAAATGAATTGCCTAAATCAGTATATCCAACGTGGAGGCCTCAACACACTCCCCAGTAAGAGATAGCCCCCAGGATAGTTTAAAACATAGAATCATGCAGCGGAATATAGGCTTCTATACCACTTCAGTATCTCATTTAGTTTGCTTATAGCACTACGCCATTTCTACCCCTTTTGTAATAAACAGACCACAGTAAGTTTAAAACAGCTTTCCTAGAAATACTTCAAAGGTCATCTTCACGCCTTCAGCCAAGGAGCAACAAGTAAACACAGATAGAACATCTTGAGTTACACTACGTAGAAAAATGTTTATAAGGACGCAGTGTGAGCCTGGAGCACCAGGCCAGACCTCCATTTGTTCCTGAGCTCACATAGTAGACCGAGTGAAGAAAGAAGCTTCATATCCTCCTTCTCTGGAGGTAATGGGGCATGACCCAAACGAGTCTAAGGATACAATTCCGTGGTCGTATTAAATATTAGGTAGGCCAGGCTTGCTTGATATATTTAACTGCAATTTCCCACAGTCTCTACAGTTGTGTTTGGAGTCTCTGTAGTGAGCTTACTGGAAGGGACAGACAATGTTGACTGAGAAGACATCTTATTTGTGGATGGCTGCTCACTGGTGGAAGAGCTAGATGTCTCTGTGGGCTCATTTGAGGTCTCTTCTTGTGTATTATGCCTCGAGGGAGGGAGGCTGAGGTAGGAGTTAATGACCAGCAGCAGTCAAAGTTAGCCCAGTGCAGATCCTAGGAGCTTGGGACCAGAGCTTGCGACCAGACCTCTCAAACAGGGGTGTTTGCAAGGGCATTTAGCAGGGGAGTTTAAGGGGGAGGCCCAGCATTCTGTCTCTTGATGTACAGAGGACCAGAGATATGGAGGGCGAGGGAGCTGCTGCAGTAACCTGTTACACCTGTGCCATGTTTGCCATTCTGCCAGAGAACAAGCAACAGTACACTTGTAGCAAGTGCAAGCTGGTTGTCTTGCAGGAAGAGAAGTTGCAGCAACTTGAGGCCTGCCCAACCACACCTCAGGCGACAGGACAACATGCAGAGTTACTTGATAGATCTGAGTTGACTGAGATTGAGCACCAAGAGAGATGCAGTGTCCCCAAGTGGGAAAAGATTGTCCATTGCAAGAGTCTAACCCCTGGAGGAATGTGATGCACAGAAGTAGGACAGTCACAAACCACACTTGGTCTTAGAGTTGCAAAATTGCCTCTATGCTCTCACCTTGGACACTGATTCTGGGCCAGAGGAGCTAGGACAGCAGTTGCCAACCTCAGAAGACACGAAGGTGGCTGTGAAAGCTACAGTGTGCAGAACGATTATTGTCATCCCCCAGAGGAGAAAGAGACAGGAGGAGATGGATTTGAAGGAGTCTTTTTCCATTCTTAATCTAACCCCATCAGATCCAAGGCTACTGACCGTGGATGAGTATGCTAATGCCCTTGCTACCTTCCATGGAGATGACAGTAGAGAAAGGGATTTGCAGCCTAGAGATGACAAGCTGGGAGGAAGGAGTAGGAAGTACTCAAACCATAAGTTTCCGGCCTTTGTAACTTATCCCAGCAATTTCAAAATAAGCTCCAATAAATAAGAGGAGAAGACTCGAGAAGAACAGAAGCAGACCCCAGGACACTCCAAGCAGCCTGCTACTCCCTACAGAAGGAGGAGACGAGTTGTGAATGTTTAGTCTGGAAAAGAGGAGATTGGGAGCAGATATGATAGCCATCTTCAAATACCTACAGCTCATTTTCTGCTGCAGAGGGGAGGACCCAAATCAATGGATTAAAATTACAAAAAACGAGATTACAACCAAACATTAGGAAGAACTATCTGTTGGTAAGAGCTCATCAGCTGTGGAACGGGCTCCATTGGGAGGTGTGGACTCCCCTTCTTCAGAGGCTTTTAAGCAGAGGTTGGATGGCCATCTGTCATGGACGCTTTCATTGTGATTCCTGCCCTGCAGACGGTTGGACTAAACGAGTCCCGGGGTCCCATCCAAGTCTCCAATTCTTTCATTATTTGACCCCTTTTGGATTACTGTGTACAGTTCTTATCACCTCAAATGTGATATGGTAGATTTGGAAAAGGTTCAGACAAAGGCGACTGAAACAATAAAAGGGATGGAGTGAAAAGTCCCTATGAAGAAAGGGACTTTTTAGTTTAGAAAGTTGAGTAAGAGGCAACATAATAGAAGTTTGTACGAATCATGCGTGGCATGGAGAAATTGGACAGAGGAAAGTTTTTCTCCACCTCTCTTAATGCTTGAACCTGGGGACATCAAAAGAAGCTGAATGTTGGAAGATTTAGGACAGATAAATTTTGTTATTTTTTATTACACAGCGCAGAGTTAAACTGTGGAACTCCCTCCCACAGGAGGCTGGTATGGACACCAACTTGGATGGCTTTAAAAGAGGACAGGGCAAATTCATGAAGGAGAGGGTTATCAATGGCTACTAGCCAAGATGGCTTGGCTCTGCCTCCACATACAGAAGCACTAACGCTTCTGAATCAAGAACACAAGTATGGGATGGAGGGTAGACCTGGCTTGGCGGCAGAACAGGTGAAAGGGATCTAGGTGTCTCATTGGTTTCTCACAAGCTAACTCTAAGCCAGCAATGTGAAGCAGCTGAGTAAAAAGCTAACACAATCAAAGATGACATAAATTTTGGAAATATAAAAATTTTGAATGGGCAAACAAGCCAGGCAAGATCCTTGCCTGGCAACTAAAGAAACAAAGAAATGAAAAATTAATAAATAAAATAAAAGTAGAAGAGAGGACAATAAGGGATATGACAGAAATTAAAAAAGAATTTGAAAAATATTACAAAAAATTATATCAAAAAGATGAAGTGCCAATAGAAGAAATAGAGGAATATATAAAGAAAAATAAATTAATAGAGATAGCAGAAGAAGACCATAAATTATTAAATGAACCAATATCAACCGTAGAAATTAAGGAATCAATTCAAAAATTAAAAATAGGGAAATCCCCAGGTCCAGATGGTATACCAGCAGAATATTACAAAGAAATGTTAAATGAATTAATTGACCCACTAAAAGAAGTAATAGAGGAAGCAGTAGAGAAGGGGAATATTCCAGACTCTTGGACTCAAGGGTATATAACGCTCCTGCCAAAACAAGGTACGGATTTGGAATCGGTCTCAAATTATAGACCCATTTCATTGTTAAATTCCGATTATAAAATTTACGCAGGATTATTGGCTAATAGGTTGAAAAAAATTATAGGAAAAATAGTACATAAAAATCAGGCTGGATTTGTGGAAGGTAGACAAATAAAGGATAATATCAGAAATATAATAGACATAATGGAATATCTACAAGTAAGAAGAGACAAACAAGCAGCCCTGATATCAATTGATGCGGAGAAGGCTTTCGACAAAATCTCATGGGAATTTATGAAAAAACTATTAAAAGAATTGTGTCTAGGTGAAAAATTCCAAAAAGGTATAAATGCAATATATAACCAACAGAAAGCAAAAATTATTATTAATGGAGAGTTTGGAGAAGAAATCAACATCTTTAAAGGTACAAGACAAGGATGCCCCCTATCCCCAATGTTATTTATAATAGTATTAGAGGTTCTATTAAAGAAAATAAGGCAGGACCACCAAATAAGAGGAATAGCAGTTGGTGAAAAAAGATATAAGTTAAGAGCCTTTGCAGATGATGTTATGATCACAACAGAAAATCCCCTACAATGTACACCTAGAAAATTGGAATGCATAAACAAATATGGCAGATTAGCAGGATTCAAATTAAACTATGGGAAAACCAAAATACTAGTGAAAAATATGGAAGAAAAAGATAAAGTGAAATTACAAGAAATTACAGGATTGGAAATTAAAAAGAAAATAAGGTATCTTGGAATAAATTTCACAACAAATACTATAGACTTAAGTAATGAGAACTATGGGAAAACATGGAATGAAATAAAAAATGACTTGCAAGTATGGGGAAAATTAAATCTTTCCTTACTAGGGAAAATATCGGTAATAAAGATGAACATATTACCAAGGATGATGTTTTTATTTCAAAGTATCCCAATACTAGGAGGAGATAAATGTTTTAATAACTGGAAAAGAGATTTGGCTAAATTCATATGGTCAGGAAAAAAACCAAGAATAAAACACAAAATAATGATAGATAAGAAGGAGAGAGGAGGATTTGGTCTCCCAGATATGGAGTTATATCACGATGCGGTGAGTCTGACCTGGCTAAAGGAATGGATCAAATTAGATGACTCGGATGTATTGGATTTAGAGGGAGTAGAGACGAGATAAAATATGGGAGAAATATAAAAGACTCTTAGAACCGAAAACTCCCTGGTGGGCATCGCCAGCAGAAATTGTCGCAGTGAAAAAATTAAATATGAAAGAAAATTGGGCTACCTATAAAACTGTATTAAAGGAAGAAAACGGGGAATTGGAATTAAAGGACTACACAGAAATTAAAGCTCATATTAGTGATTGGTTTCAATATATTCAAATTAAGTATAGATTAGCAAAAGACAAAAAGTTAGGATTTGAAAAAGAAATATCAAAATTCGATAAATATTTAATACAAGAAAAATCAAAAAATATATCTAAATTGTATAATCTGATTTTAGAGTGGGAAACAAAGGATGAATTGGTTAAAGCATCAATGATTAAATGGGCGCAAGACACTGGGAAAAATATTATGTTTGAACAATGGGAAAAATTGTGGAAAGAAGATATGAAATTCACCATGTGTTATATACTGAAAGAAAATTACCTTAAAATGCAACATAGATGGTATTTAACACCTGAAAGAATAGCAAAAATGAATAAAAACTGTAGCGATGTCTGCTGGCGATGCAACACGGGAAAAGGTACTATGATACATATATGGTGGAATTGTTTAAACATCAAACAATTTTGGGAAATAATATATAATGAAATGAAAAAAATGTTTAGATACTCATTTAGGAAAACACCAGAAGGTTTTCTATTAGGAATAGTACCAGGAAGCCTAAAGGAAGAAGATAAGACCTTATATTTATACGCAACAGTAGCAGCAAGGCTATTGAT